AAATTAATGGGTATTTTGGTATATAATTTTTAAGTAATAGTATTTTTCAAAAGAAAAAAATTATTAAATATTTTTAATAAAAAATATTAATAATTATAGTCTATAATGATCCTAAATTAAAATTAGAATTATCTATATTTTTTAATTAAAATTAGAATTATTAGTAATTTTTTTATTAAAGAATTGTTTAATATTTTTTTAAAATTATTATTACTTGAAAATTATATTTAAAAAATGAATAAAATACCTTTTGATTTAACACCATTAATCCAAAAATTTGATGTTATGACCAAAAATCTCTTTTTAAGGAGTTGAAGGACCAAATTGATCCCTCAAGTGAGTTATGGATCATTTTGGTCCCTCACAAAGAGTTGAGGGACCATTTTGATCCTTTTCTCATTAATGTTAAGTAATTGTAACAATTATACTAGCTAATATATTAATTAAACTTTAATCTTAATTTATTAGCTCCCTACTCCACTACAACATTAATACTTATATTAGTTAATATCCACTTCTACTCAGCCATCCACTAATTAATGCATGCAACAGATGTGATGAACATTTTAGTGAAGTCCATGAACTGCTATTTTCGTTCGATCATTCACGCACTTGTTAGAAGAGGGTTCGGTTCTGTGTGCGGAAGGGAGTGGGAAGCATTGCTTGCGGGTTCTGTAAGCGGAAGCCGTGGGAGTGATGCTGTGAGGGAGCAGTGGCCATCAGGGAGTGCAGAATTCAGTGGAAGAAGAAGACGAAGAAAAAGGGAGAAGAGAACATTAAGGGAAAGAGAGCATCGAAATTCAAATAGTGAATGCAAAGGGGAAGTTTCGAGGTAAATGATTATTTTAGGATAAATTGACTTTATTCAAATCATTGGAGGAATGAGCAGTGGAGATTGAGATATGAATTATAGGTAATTTACAAACAAAAAATGGTACGAGGTGCCAAATTCGAGGAGTCAACTCATTATGGAGGTAAGTAATGCAATTTTAATTTAAAAAGTAAATGCTGTCATCATAATTTAAAATTGCGCAATCCGAGGCACGCCTTTGTGCAATTTGCTCCAAAATAGCCTCAAAGCCTAGGCAATTCTTAGGCATCATGAGGCGTACGCCTCAGGTGGAATGAGGCGCGCCTCATTAGCATTTTTGCGCAATTTCCTTTGAGTCGTACACCTCTAATATGGGGGCCCACTTACTTAAAAAACCTCTTAAATTCTTCATTATGCCCACTTACCCGACCAAAGACCCACTTATCCGACCGAAGACGTCAACCGAAGCCGCGCATGAAGCACGTAGACGCCCGATCTGGCTCTCCCGCATGTTTCCGTCGCCTCTCTTGCCGGCGCCGCCTCGCACCGGTAAGTCCTTTGATTCCGGCTGCCCCTCTACATCACTTCTTCAAGTGTTCTTAGGATTTTTTTAAGTTTAGGATTTGATTTTTCAACTTATAGGAAAGCTAGGGTTTTAATTTTTTTGAGTTTTATTTTGCATTTGTGCTTTATGAAACATGGTTAGGGGCAATGAAAGGACAAATACGTCATTGCGACGTGATCTTTCTTGGAAATATAGTGTGCAAGTTGATGTAAGAGGTGGCGAGAAGACGTGTATTTAAAATGTATTTTTGTAATAAGGTGGTGAAGGGAGGAGTAACTCGCATGAAGGAATACTTATTCGGCTCACATAAGAATGTAGCACGTTGTGCGAATGTTCCGGATAAGGTGAACGAGGAAATTATAGCTTATATGAAAAAGAGCACCACGACCAAACATTTATGCAGGAGCAATTTGATGAAAGGGTCGAACATGATGCTTACTTCAGGAGCGAGAGTGGAAAGGGCTCTTCCTTCCACTATAAATAATAGAGGTGCACGGGGTCCTATGGACCAGTATATGACTAATCCAGGAGAGGATAGAGGATAAGCACAGATGATGCCTGCTGTTGGTATTAGAGAAAGTCGACGAAAGGTTTGTATGGATATTGACAGTTTTTTTTTTTTTTTTGAGAATGCCATATCATTTAATATTGCAACATTGCCGGCTTACTTCAATATGCTGCGGTCTGTAGGGTTGTATGACAGAGGGTTGAAGGCACTTTCCATGTACGAGTTGCAAACACGGATTTAGAAAGAGGACTTGCAGAACACAGAGCATAGCATTGATGAGATTAAACGAATATGGAGTGAGACTGGTGCTATCATTATGTCAGATGGATGGTCTGACATGAAGAGTAGGAGCTTGATGAATATTCTTGTCAACAATCCCTACGGCACGGTATTTTTACGATCAGTTGAAATTTCAAATGAGGTTTAAAATGTTGAATTCATTTTCAATTTATTAGATGGGGTTGTTGAGGAGATTGAGGAGCAATTGGTTGTTCAGGTGGTGACTGACAATGCCAGTGCATACAAAGCAGCTGGTCAGATGTTAATGGAGGAGTGGAAACACCTATATTGGACCCCCTGTGCAGCACACTGTATCGATCTCATATTGGAGGAACTTGGTGATTTACCTCAACACAAGAGCGCTCTTTCTAGTGCGAAGAAGATCACAAAGTTCATTTACAACCACTCATGGGTCTTAGCCTTAATGAGAAAGTTTTCAAAGAACGAAATCATTCGCCCTGCAACCACTAGGTTCGTTATTACATTTGTGCACTGCAAATCATTTTTAATTCCTCATACAAGTTTATTCTACAGGTTTGCCACATCTTATTTGACACTGCAGAGTCTACTGGATGTGAGACAACCTCTTGAAGCAATGTTTACATCGACACAATAGCTTAATTCTGCGTGGGGAAAGAAACCTCAGGGGAAGGAAATATGATGGCTAATTCTAAATGATAAATTTTGGACTAGTGTGACCTATGCCATATTGAGCACGAGACCCTTGGTACAAGTTCTACGTTTAGTGGATGCCGAGAAGAAACCAGCCATGGGTTTTATTTATAATGCTATGGATGAGGCAAATGAGTTGATTGCACATAACTTGGGAGGAGAGAAGGCAAGTTATAAAGAGATTTGAGATATCATTGATGCTCGGTGGGAGGTCCAGTTACACCGTTATCTACATGCAGTGACGTATTATCTCAATCCTCAATTTCAATATACAGAGATGAAATTCTCAAATCCGGAGGTGAAGTTTGGCTTGTATCATTGCATGGAACAACTAATACTGGGCCAGAACATCAGGGAGCTAGCATATTTAGAACTTGTTCTATTTCATAATAGGGAGGGATTTTTTGGTTTGCAAGCAGCAAAATCTACTATTGCTAAATGGTCTCCAGATATATATATTTTTGCAAAGTATCTGTACATGCATAACAATTTAATATTTTATGACAATAATCATTTTTATTGAATAGGGAAGAGAAAATTGAGTAACATTGAAGATGATAAAGATATGACATTCATAGATACAATTGAAGAAGAAGATTCCCTTGAAGAGCCATTTAGTGATGGGACATAATTTAATTTAATATGTTCTTTCTTATTTATACTTTGGGAGTTTTGATAGACTTATATTTTATGGTTATGTACTTTGGGACATGATTTTATTGCATCTATTTTCTTACTTTCCATTAATTTCACTTGTCATTTAGATATTTTTATTGTATGATAGAATCTTACTATTATTTACCTGCTAAAACCCTTAAATTCTCATTAACACAATTCTTCGTCCGTGAGGCTTACGCCTCACGCCGCCTCGAGGCTTACGCCTCGTCTCACGAACGAAAAACTCCTCGAAGCTGATTTACACAATTTTAAACCTTGGCTGTCATTTCTAGACATGTATACTTATATTTGATTGAATTAAAGGGAACAAACATTAAAGTTAATCATTTTGTTAGTTGTGTTTGAGTCTGCAGAGGTATGTAGATTGTTTGTTTAGGATTTCTTAGTGAACATGTAATGGTATTTATGATATAAGTGAAACTTTGTAGATGCTTACGTTTAGTTAGAAAATGTGTTGTGCTGTGGATGAGGAAAAAAAATTATATATATATATATATATATATATAGGGAAATGATTAAGAGTTTTAAATGTTGAATGTTAAGAATTTTCTAAGTTACACCCATCGTAATTGGTAAGGTATATCATGGGGTGCGACACAACTCTTTTTTTTTTTTTGCATCTCTTCTTCATCTGTACCATGCACCATAATTTGACATTCTGATACCAACTTGATTCGTAGGCCAACCTTCTTTTAGTTGTCTTTTTGCAAATAGTTTTTTTGTTCTTTATTTTTGAAATATAGCTATCAGGGTACCACAACAAGAAGCAATCCATGCAGCTGCAACAAACAGAACAAGCAAGGGGGTTGCAATCAGCTACAATGCCGTGGTCTACAGAAGCTGGAGGGGAATCATCAACATGCTTGAATTAAAAATGGCAAGGGGGTAAAAATCTGCTTCAATAACCAATTACTGGAGGCTTCCTTCCGTAGTTGCTATAGTGCAGAAGTGAGGGCTGTCAAGAGAAGGAAAGGAACTTGGGAAGAATTTTATATCTTTCATTGATTTTTAATTTTTAATTTCAATCCTTTAAATAGGCAATTATAATAGGATAAAATATAATCTTTTCCTAAACAAACTCCAAAAAAAGAAAAAAATTATACTTATAATAAAGATAAGGTTGAAATAAGTGATAGTTCATGTAGTAATTATCTAAACTGAATCTAAAGTTTAAATATAAATTTATCCAAAGAAGTATAAAATTTTAATTTCATTGTTATCCTATTGTAATTTGAAATTTGATCCAACAATTCAATTTTTGGACCCTTAATATGCCTTAATAAGATGTCCAATCGACCATCTGAGCAAGCCTATAGACTCCTAATAACATTTTCTTTGAACTCAGTGGCATAACATTTTCTTTGGTGACTGATTCCAATTAATCTTTGGTTATAGTGTTATACTGAATCTTGATTCTTGTCTTAGAAGTATTATAATTTTGTCATGTTTAACACCAAATGCTGAAATCTTCAATCTTGTTTTTCTAGGTGGTTCAGGATATAACAGTGCATCTGCACCGAGCTACCAATCAGATGGAGATTTCACAAACACAACAGTAAGCACAAATTCTTCCATACGGCATTATAAACATTCTATTTCCAATTATATAGTTTTGGCTAATCTGTTCGGTTTTTTAGGTATTTGTGGGAGGACTTGACCCAAATGTTAGTGAAGATGAGCTTAAGCAGATCTTTTCTAAGCATGGCGATGTTGCCTCTGTGAAGGTTCCGGCTGGGAAGCAATGTGGCTTTGTACAATTTGTCCAAAGGTAACTTCAATTTTTCTCTACAATCATGTAAGACTTAAAGCTGATCAGAGATCAGATTTTGTTGTCATGCATCACCAGATTTGAATCATGCTTCTCACAACATAATTATTATGGCAGAAGCAATGCTGAATCTGCTTTGCAAGCGCTGAATGGAACACTCATAGGGAAGCAAACAGCACGGCTTTCATGGGGTCGCAATCCAGCTAATAAGCAGGTAGGGGATCTTTGGATTCTCATTCTCTCAACATCAAGTGATGATCTAATGCATAAACCAAGTCATTAGATCTATACTTTGTTCATCTGACATTTCTTTTCTTTTGTAATACATATTCTCCAAGTCTTGTTATTCTAGAGATTTGATGTTGCTTTTTGTGAAATTAAAATCTGCAGCTCCGCCTTACCTTACTATGATTCTGCCCTCTGGACCGCAGCTAGCCCTTGGACTTCAGCCTTAGGCTTCGTGTGGGATGGCTTTCTTACTGCTTCTTAAAGCAGCTTTCTAGTTCAAAATTTTTAAGCTGCTTTAGGGAGCAATAAGAAAGCTGTCCCAAACGAAGCCTTAGTCTCTCTCTGGACGGGGCTTCCTGCCAGCTCTCCTCCTTGTTGTTACACAACCGCTGGCTGATGCCAGCAATTCCTTCTGAACCACTGTAGCAATCAGCTCTCCACCTTATTCTGTCATGCCACCTCATTGATCCCTGGGATTATTGTTACCCCCTTGCTAACCTATTGCCTATCCTAATTATGTTTTATTTTGTTTCATTCTCTAAGTGTGGTATATTTCATTCTAGAGGTTCTCCTAGACTTATCTAAATTCAGCACATATGATGGAATGAAAAACTCAAATCAATTTTCCAATTCTTGTTATGGTATCAAAGTCTTAGGCTTTTTCTTTGCATATTTATAAGCTGTAGCTTTCATCACCTGCATTGCCTAGACCTTGCAAGGCTTCATTGGTATAGGTTTCTTTTTTTTTTTTTTTCTTTTCCATATAATATGCTCACTTACTATGATGCACGGACACGGACACGGGACACAGCAATTTTTAAAAATATAGGACACGGGTGCTGCGTGGACACGACATAATAATTTTTTAATATAATATATAAAAATTAAGGTGACATTATAGTAAAAATGTCAAGCAATAATAAATCAATTTCATGATAAGTTGATACTTGTTTAGCTTATAACATAAAGATGTTTAATACAAAATGTCTAATACAACCACAAAAATATAAGCAAAAAATCATTTAGTACAACATGAAAGTCCAACTACTCAATATAGGGAATGATAGAAATAGATTCAGATGTTGGTCTTTGGCCTTCAATATCATCATCATTTAATATCATTGCTTCCAACTCTGATTCATCTAGAGAAAGATTTGCAACCTCCAATAATCCCATATCATCAAGGCACTCGAACTCATCTCCAGCAAGATCCCACATCTTGTTATCACCTGTTATATAAAGTTGGGTTTTCCTTGATAGAAGACGAAGATTTGTATGCACATAAACTAAATCTTCAGCACGTTGTGGAGTTATTTTATTCCTCTTCATTGATTGAATAAATGAGTATGTGCTCCAATTTCTCTCACAACATGAAGAGGATGATACTTGACCAAGAAGTTTTATTGCTATTATTTGAA